TCTTCTGTCTACCTCAGCTGTATATTACTCAAAAGCATTCAGCAATTCATGAGGCTTCTATCTTATTGATCCATGATTTAATTCAAATGTGACCTCATTCAAGACACAACCTAATTAACAAAATATTTATTTTGGGTTAGTGTGATTGTTCCAAAAACTCATCCGGTATGGGTTTGTGTTTGTAGCACTTCTCTGAAGTGTAAACCACTTAAAGCACCTGTATTAATATTCTCTGATGAAGTAAGAGAAGAATGAAAGGCTGATCCTAACTCATTTTTTCCTTTCTTAAAATACGTGTTAGCTTTCTGTTCCTGGGACACAGTCCTTGAGAAGATCAACGTATAGGAGGAAATACTTATTTTGGCCCATGGTTTCAATTTGTGATCATTTGCCTCTGATATTTCTGGGCACATAGCTGAAAGCCAGGGCAGTGCACAGCTGCTTACTCCATGGCAGCTGGGAAGGAGTACAAGGGAGGAAGAGAAAATATGAAGAACCAGGTAGAAAGGGAGACCAGGAACAAGATATAGTCCCCAGTGTTATTCCCCATATCCCACTCCTTTTGACTAGGCCCTACATTTAAGTGTTCATCACCTCCCAATAAAGCCATCAAATTAAGCCACTGCTGAGTTTAGTCCCCATGATGCAATCACCTCCCAGAAGTGTTGGTAAACAAGTCCCCCAAACACAAGGCTTTATATCCAAACCATAGTAGGATGCCTTGTTGTGTTAGCTAGTTTTGACAACATCAAAACCTATATGCTACTTTTAAGAGACACAGGTTTGAATATCACACTTCAGAAAAACTTCCATGTTTCTCTGAAGATAAGACCTCGCTGGAAAATAATCAGCCTTGAAAACTAGAGATTGAAAAACCCCAGCTCCATACAGTTTATTTTTGCATTTACTGCCACTACTATTTTCTTCCTCAGTGACTGCTTTGTAAGACAGATAAAATAAGGATAGGATGATTGGGGCGGGCAGTTTCTTTTTACTTAATGCTCTCAGGTATCAAACTCAGGATCTTGCACTTGTCAGGCAGGTGCTTGTGCCTCTGAGCTATATCCTTGGCCTCAGCTGGCAGCTTCGATCTCTATTTTCAAGACTGATTATTTTCCAGGAAGGTCTTATTTGCAGGGAAAGAGGGTTGTTATTTCACAATAGGAGATGCATTTTAGAAGATTTGCTAATTACAAATTCATCTATTTTTGATTACCTAAAGTAAGGAGTCATCAATTAGTAGCACTTTTAATATAAACTCTTTGAGGCATTAAGAAACAACTTCTAAAAATAATTTTTAAAAATTTTCTTAGTGCGTTTTTGGAAGCCATACAGTTTACAGTCATCTTGGAGAGCGGTTACATGTTTTTATGTGTTACAGCTTGTTTCTTCCTTCCTTTCTTTTTTGGTTAATCCTCTTCTCCTTCCATCCTCTTCCTCCTCCTCATCTTTTCTTCAGGTTCTTCTATCCTCTGGTTCTTATTTCTTGAAATTGTTTTAGGAATACATTGTTTATATTAATAGGGATGATTAGGTTCCTATACATGACAAATGGTTCTTTTTATTTCTCCTTCTTTTCATCCTCACCCCTCAACCTTGTTCCCTTGGACCACTTCCCTATTGCAAGAGATTCATTCCTTTTGTCCCTTTCTATCCATCCTTTTATCATTTTCTTTGTTTGCACTTTACTTCACTCAAATGACAGATATCATATGGTATGTAAGCTTGTTTGTCTGATTTAGTTCACTTAGCATTATATTTTCCAGGTATATCTATTTCCCTACAAACATCTCAAATGTGTAATTTTTTATAGCTGAGTAGTATTCCATTATATATAGATAGCACATTTTTAAAAAATCTAATCATCTTTTGATGAGTATAAAGTCTTCTTGGGGGATATAACTATTATGAAATGTGGTAAAATTAATATTGTTATGAATAAAAATATTGTTTTGCATGTATCACTGTAGTAAAGCTGACTTATGCTCTTTGGGGAAAATACCTAGCAGGAGGATAGCTGAGTCCTATGAAATTTCTAATTTCAGTTCTTGGAGAAATCTCCATACTGATTTCCATAATGGTTATATTAGGTTGCATTCTTACCAACAGTGTAGGAGAGTTCTTTTTTCACCACAGCCATGCCAGCATTCCTTATAGTTGGATTTCCTAATGATTTCCGTTCTTTCTAAAGTAAGATAGAATATTACCATTGTTCTAATTTGCATTTCTCTAATGATCAGAGATGTTGAACATTTTCCTCATGTATTTGCTGACCATTTGTATTTCTTGCCCTGTGAAATGTATGTTCATTTCTCTTGTCCATTTCTGGACTGGATCTTACATTTTAGATGGTTTAATTTCTTTTCCGGTTTAGAATTTTTTGCATATTCTAGTTATTAGTCATTTGAGGAGTAAGTGGAAAAGTTCTTTTCCTATTTTGAGGTTATCTTTTCATTCTACTAATTGATTCTTTTGCCCTATACAGAAGCTTTTTAGTCAGATACAACTCTTTCTCTGTCTCACTCCTTGTTTATCTCTGTCTGTTTATCTCTGTCTCTCTGTCTTTCTGTTTGTCTCTGTCTGTTTCTCTGTCCCTGTCTTTCTGTCTCTGTCTTTCTGTCTGTCTCTCTCTGTCTCCTTCTCCCTCTCCCTCTCTCCCTCCCTCCCTCTCTCTCTCTCTCCAGGCTCTTGCTGTGTAGATTGGGCTAGCCTTGAGTTCATTAAGTAGTTCGGACTGGCCTTGAACTCAGGGCAGTCCTCCTGCCTTAACCTCCTGAGTGCTGGGGTTACAGATATATCCTCCCACACCTGGCAGATATAATCTCATTTGTTTATTCTTGCTGTTATTTCTTGTGCAATTGAGGTTCCCTTCAGAAAATTCTTTCCTATACTCGGGTTTTCAAGTGTTTTACATATTTTATCTCCATAAGGTTTAATGTTTCTATCATTATGTTTAGATTTTTGATCTATTTTTATTTTAATTTAGTATATGGTTAGAGAAAAGGGTCATTTCATTCTTCTGCAAACAGATAATGAGTTTTCCCCAAATCACTTGCCGAATAGGCTATCTTTCCTCTAACATATGTTTTTGGCCCTTTTATCAAAAATCAAATAACCGAATGTGTCCATGGATATTTCTGTTTCCTCTGTTCTGTTTCATTGATCCACCTGTCTACTTTTGTTCCAGTACCTTGCCAATTTTTAACATTTTTGCTTTATAGTATAGTTTGAAATCAGGTATCACTGTGCAGCCTACAGGGGAAAATGAGCTAAAAATAATAAGTTTCTTCTCACAATAATCTGTCTTCCAGAACTTTTGAAAAGGTCAAATAATCTGATATGGCAGTTTCCAATGGTAAAACAGGGCTTCTTATAAAAGAAGTGAATGCTAAAATTTGAAAATGACTAGAAATTTCATTTGTTTCTAAAATAATTTTACTTCTAAATATTCTTTATTTATCAATAAGAGTTACACATGGTTGCTTCAATTTAAGTACTAAAATTAGGAAGTAAAAGTATATATAGAAAACTGTTCATTAGAAAAAATGTTATGCAAAGAAAACCTCTAAGAATATATATTAAAATAGAAACTTTAGGTGGGTTAGTATTTTTAATTTTTAAAAAATAATGAAACTATTTTTAATCAGAATAAAAAACAATAAAATAAAATAAAGTTAAAAGATACTTTTTCATAGGCTTTCTAGTTCAATCTTTATAAAACAGCCCATTTCTATATTTAGGCAGTTTGGGAACTGGCTGACTTCTTAATCTGAGAAAGCAGATTATTTTCTGAAATCCTCAAATTTTATCCAGGCTTATCCTCCAGTGAACAATCATGTACAGTCTGTTCAGAATTGTGAACAGTAAATGAAGAGAAAATCAAGAGGAGATGACTATTATATTCTGATTGTCCCTTATTTATTTCCCAGGTAATTATGAAATAAAAACCAAACTAGAAATCTTGTTCCCTCGTAAATTAAGCTAACAGGAACAGATCTGTCTTCACCAGTTGCCAACATGAAGAAAAGTAAAGTGACTAAAATTCTTAGTGTTCATTCTGAATGCTCCAATAATTCCCTAGTATAGTAACCATATTTTATTTCTGTGTTACACATTAATTACTGAAAAGTGCAATGCCTGTATTTCTAGACATTAATAGAAGTTGTACGTGATTGTCTAACAAGCGTGTACGAAGAGTGCTTAAGAGGAAAGCCAAGTGTGTGTGGAGGGTGACGGAAGCCATCCTCCCAGGCTAGACTGCCCACTGTGTCCAGTGATGCATTTGATTTAATGGAGTGACATGCATACGCCCAGGGGAAACATTAGACATCTTGAATGTTACAGTTTAAATGTATGAAAAACAGCAATATCTGAAGAAGCAAAGAATTGGAGGAAAGGAACAGTGTAGATTTGATCTGTACGAGGTTGACTTCTTTTTTTTACATCAGTTATTTACACAGATTGTAAAAATCAGAAACATAATCAAAATGTACTAATCTGCTAAATACTATAAATTTCCAACCATCTAAGATATTAATAATTTGTGCTGTATTTTGAAAATATAATCCTATGAAATGCTATCTCTATTAAATCAAGCTTAAAAGCATTAAATTGTTTTTAAAATTTATTTACAGTCTATCTACAATAAATGGGGAAAGGTTTAAATAAATTGCATTAGCTCAATATTCAGTTATATCCTGGAAAAACAAATCTTTGGAAAGTTTTAAAAGAGTTGAAAAATTTATTTCGAGAGCTAGAATGATGTATTGCAGCATTAGCTTGCCTCTGAGGAAATTCATAATAGAAAAATAATTTCCCTTTAATGTTTTCACAGAGAAAGAAAACAATTTTCTAGAACACTATATAATTCATAACAAAGAACCAAAACCAGTGTTAAAGGTAAACAAGAAGTAGGCTGTTTGTTTCTTCTCCGGCACAAAATAAGTCAAATCTTAGGTTTACTTTATGGTAAAATAAAAGGAAATACACCTAAAGTAATATATTGTTTAATTTATTTCTTTTAATTCAATTCTAGTTATAAAAACAAGAAATGGGAATTTTCCTACTTCCTGTTAAGTATTTTTTCTTAATTGTGTCTTGTTCACAAAATACCCCAACACCAAACCATGCAAACTAGCAAATGCAAACTAAATGCTGATCATTGGAGGGTTTTCTACTTAACAAACATTTATTTAATACCTACTTGACTTGAGTTACTTGGTTCAACTAAAGTTGCTAGAGATTACTATGGGATACGTAAATGTCAATTAGTTTCTTCACTCAACTTAATATGCAACAGCATTTTCCGTTGTTTATAAGTTGAGAATCAACATTCCTTTGTGGATGTTTTTCTTTCTGTTGGTAAACCCTTTCGAGGATTTACACAGAATAGGGTATACACCTCTGCATTAACACCTTTCACAGAGACTGATCAGCCTGTTCACTATTCTTGGTAGGCTGTGCACCCAGGGATGGAAGAAATGGGTCTTTTTCATATTCATTTTTCAGTATGTAATACCTAATCAAGTTTCTGGTAGATGTAGGTGGCCAGTATTGACCATTTGATGAATAAAGTAATTACTTAAATACCCACAAAAACCTACAAAAGCTATCACTCATCTCAACTATGCTAGATGGCGTTGTTGATGATTAAAGTATGAATTCATACATATTAAGAGAGAAGACTGAGTGAAGTTTAGATATTTTCCCTTCTTGGACTAAATAATATATGAAAGGTAAAAGTTAGATAAAAGGTTTGATTGGAGACAAAAGAGAGTCCTTCATAAGACTCAGCCATTGAGGGGCTGGGGATTTAGCTCAGCGGTATAAACACCTGCCTTTCAAGCAGGCAGTCGTGAGTTCAATCCCCCGTACCGATTAAAACAAAACAACAACAAAAAAAGACTCAGCCATGAAGATGGCCTTGCCTTGATGTAAATGTTCTTCTCTACAGGATATAAATTTGTTAGATAGTCTTGACACACGGCTGACATCAAGAAATTAATTAACCCTCAATTCATGCCATAGTCAAATTTTATTTCCCAGTTAAATAAAGAATATTTTCATTAAGAGACAAGAAGAGCCCAGATGAAGTAGTTTAAAATCTCTTCCACATGGAAAAAAAGTTTTTTTCCATAATACACATTCCCATAACACTTGTTTATGGAGGCAAATTCTCCTTGGATTTTGAACATTTTCCTAGGTTTAAATCAGTGAGCTCTCAAATCTTTAGGCCAAAAGACTTGTCTATGTCTCTCCAAGTTCAATCTGTACTGCATAACTTACATTAAAGGGTTTATAAATAAAAATAATGTGATCTCAATGCAAGTTTTACACATCAGGAATTACTCTTCAGGCTATGGGATGGGCTCAGAGACAATTCTCTTACCTAGCATGTGCTGCATTTGATGCCAGTGCTGCAGAGAGAGAGAGAGAGACACACACAGAGAGAGAGAGAGAGAGAGAGAGAGAGAGAGAGAGAGAGAGAGAGAGAGAGAGACTCTTCATACATATATGCCCCAGTAAAACAAATTAAAGATTATGTACACAATGGGAAATAGAATTCTAGAATAGGTATCAATGACATGGTTTTTCTTCAAGATGATTCTACCAATGTTTCCTCCCAGGGATTTTTTTCTCTTCATCTGAGGCGAATCTGTGCTAGGGCTGCCTGTGGCTTTTTCTCTCATTGAGTCCTCTTCAGAATGGAGAGAAAAGGAAGTCTGGTCCACGTCAATGTCACTGTCATGGAAACAACCATCGAAGGCCATGGCTTGGACTGTATCAATGTTGTACATTCCAGAAATCTGTCAAAAATTTTTATTTAAAAGCAGGTCAAACATATAGTTTTATTACAGTAAAATACTAATCAAATTTATAAAAGCTAAAAATATTTTGCTTCTTATTAGAAGTTTGGTTTTGATTTGGTATCTGATTAAAACTTACTTTAATAATAAATGGAAACATCATCTGATGGATCTTTATCTACTAAGAAATTTTATATATATTTCCATAAAGGTATTTGAGCATCACAAAACTTATGCAGTGATAAAGTCAATGTTTTCTAATTTAGTCCTAGTCTGGCAGTCTGTTATAGTGGATGCATGTTATTGTCTTTATTTCTGTGTAGTATGAATTGTTTTTGATAAGTTTGTGAGTTGAACTTGAATAATTTACTGGGACATCAGTATAAACCAGTTGGATACGCTTTTCAATTTTTTTTCTCCCCTTAGGGAGAATATAGCAGTATGCCCAGTCAATGTGGTTCTTACTCAAAAACAGATAATTGCATCTGGTAACTTATGTATGCTTAAGCTGTGGAGTGGTGCGGGAATGATTTTAGCTGTTCTTTAAAAATGCAAATGATCCAGGCCTTCTTATTTGTGCTTAAAATTATTTATAAATTGTGCTAAGATGGCCCAATTAAACATGAAATTCACTTTTTTTAAAGGAGAAAATTGCCAGTGCTTTTTGGCTCTAGTGGCTGATTGAATCTAAACCAAAATTTTTGTTTTAAGTTTTATTCAGGGGAGATTGAAGTTCTTACTAGTATAGAGCAGTTTCTAGGAACCAGTTGTTAGTAACTGTTTTTTTTTTTTTTTTTTTTTGAAAACAAAATCACTTCTTGATCTTCAGGGAAGTTGAAAAGTGAACAAATATGAAGAGAGTACTCTAGATGAAATTATTTAGAATTCATTTGGGGGCTGCAGAGTAAATTCGGTCAAAACCTATATTTGGGTCATAGAATTTGAAAAATTTAATATTTAAGTTAAAAAGACATGGAGATTTTTGTGCAGTCAGTCAACTAACTAAGAATCCACATGTTGGTATACATTGTCCTTTTTTTAATTGCAGAGGTTTTTCATAATAAAATGAAAATAGACAAAATAAAATGCAAAGAGGTCAAGGTGAATAATTAATGAGGTAATCAATAATATTACTAATGTATTCAGCTTTGGCTCTTACACTAGAAAAAGTATGTATGGTCTTGTTAATGGTTTCCCTAGACACCTAGAGCAGTGCTGAGTCATCTCCATCCATCCACTATTTTTATCAGAATAAAAATGTCAGTGCATTAAAAGAACACAATTGAAGAAAAGGGGTGTCATTTTCATTCTCCATTATGATAATTTAGAATTATGTATGTAATTTTTTAAAGTTTCCAGCTTACAAGCTGCTAAAACGCTGCAATTTTTTTGCAGATTTATGTCAGTTGTCCAACAGAAACAGTTTTAGACCTGGTCTTTAAATTTTCATTTCAGGCCATAGATTAGCACATTGATAAGGTATGTTTTGTCTGAACTACAGATCTGACTGTTTTAGACTGAGTTCTGTGTCCTGGAATTAGGAAAACATTTGGATAAGGAATAAGAAAAACACAGCCTCCCTTTTCCTTTGTAGGTGAGAGCCACCATTAGGGAAAGCGTTCCCATGGTCTCGGTGTTCTTAGTGTTTGGTGGGTGGTTGGAGGGTGTGTGATGGTAGAGGTGGAGGAGGTGGTATTTGCTGGTGATGGAGGGAGACGGTGGTGTGTGTCTCTGCAGTGGTGATGGCGAGGGGGGCTGGTCATCCTGCTGAAAGTTGTGGTTGATAGTAGTGGCAGTGGCGGTGGTAGAAAAGGTGTTTTGTCTCACTGTATTTTTATAGGAGGAAATCTCCTGGGCTAACGTTTAGAACCTTCCTCACCATCCATCGTTCATTTTTCCTCAGTGTCTGGGGAAAACAGCTAGCCTGTGTGTTTCAGTCCCTTTTGAGTCTTGACTTTGGCATTCCCATTGGTGTCCAGATTTGTTCTTCAAAATGATTAAAAGGAGACTAACCTAACAGGGAGAACCCTAAATTGTTTTATTTTGCCAGTGACCAAAAGAGTAAGTACTTTTAATTTAGTGTGTGAATACAGTGAGCCAACTTGCTTGAAGATCTAAACAATATTCAACAAAATTCTTTATTAAAAACAAGGGAGACATCACTGTACCTGTCTGCCTCCCAATTCTTGTTCTCTTTTTAAAACTGGTTTCCAACTCAAATATAGAGTAGAGTTGCCATTGGTGAGCCCCCAAACCTGCAGATATATGCCTTTACTCTCATCCATGTGGAGTTCCTGTCCTCTCAAAGGCCTCTTGCTTTAGGTGGCCCGTTTCTACTATCTTTAAGAAAACTCCTTTCAATGTGTGGGCGTTGGACACCAATCACAATAAGAACTTACAATTGTATAGCACTTTATAGTTAACCAAGATTTCAAATCCATTATTGCATCATTTAACACTCACAACAGCCCTGTAGGAAAATAGGCAAGAAATCATACCATTTGGGGAATGCAGATGGAGCTTTAAGAGACTCAGCTTAAAACACAAAGCTGGGAAGTGCCGCTCAGTGTGGCATCATGCCTTTTTAACTCTAAATCACTTCTTCCTTTCATTGTATGACATATGAATGACAAGTAGGGTATTTATTTGAGATAACCGTGGAGGAAAAGAAAATAGAGTTGTTTAATGGACTCTGAGTTCCACTTTTGCAAAAAAAAAAAAAAAAAAAAAAACTCTGGAGATTGTACAATAATTTGAATATACTTATTATTATTGTTCTATATACTCCAAAATAGCTACAATGTTAAATTCTAAGTTATGTGTATTTTAACATAATTAAAACTCCTGAAATTTATGAAAGAAGATATTCATTAACTCAAAACAATTCTTCATTGAGTACATAAGAAGACTGCATATAATTTTCTCAAGTAAAAAGAAATTCAGGTCATGTGAAAACATTTATGCGACAGATAAGGACAGGAAAAAAATGCTGATATTTGGGAGTCAAAGGACTAGTTGGAAATGGGCCAAAATTATTTCAGTGTGTATTTCTTGGGTTAATTAGTTCTTGAATCAAAACAAGAAAACTGATGTCATTCTTTTCACATTTTTTGAGTCACCTTTTACTTTAAAAGTTATTCAAATCACTGCTAGTTGTGGAATGAGTAATGGACCAGCAGCATTAGCAGCACCTCAAGCCCGAGAGCAGTGCAGACTCTCGGGTTATACCCCAGGCCGGCTGAGTCAGCATGTGGGTGAGAAAGCAGGTGATGTGTATGTACTGTTAGAGCACATGGGTTACAACACCCTGTTTCCTCACATTTGCATAGCACCTTACTGGGTGAATGTGTGTGATACATAACCATATGCTGTCACTAGAAGAAATGGAAGCATCTGTAATAAAACACAATCAGTTCCTATTAGAGAGTTGGCTCAATAGCAAAAGAAACAATGAAGTTAGCGTCTCAGAAGATCTGAACTGCAGCACCATCTTTGTTGGCTGTGAGTCTTTTGGCAAAACAGTTTGCATCAATAAAACTCTGCTTCTTCATTTATAAAATAGAGATAAATTTGCCTACATTGGGGAGCTGATAGGAAGCCTCAGTATGGAGAGATGACACAGAAACACTATGAAGATATGAAGTGCTATCACTAGAAATTAAAATACATTAATGTTCTGGGTGTGTAAGAATTTATTAAACCAATGTGGATACATTTTATTACAATTATACATACACTGAGACTCTCAAATGTGGGTGAGCAAATGAATGCATATTAATCACTTGGGTTTCTGAAATACAGTATCTTAGGTCAGTTCTCATTAGAAGTGGGACTGTTGCCCCAGTCTTTGTGACATAAAGCAGAGAGCAATCTAGCCATATTAAGCAGTGTCACAAAAATATGGTTGTACCGAGAGCCCAGAAAACACCTTAATTCCAGGATGTTATGGGGAGAAGAACCTCCTTTTTGCTCTTCCACCATTCTGAGTTGGAGAAACGGAAAAATAAATCTTGAGAAACAGCACTTGCTGGTTGAGAGCACAGCCTTTGGTTTAAGGAGCCTAGAAACAAATCTTGATTCCTCTTTAACTATGTGCCTTTGTCTGTGCTTATTCTACTTCTATGAAATCAGGAGATAAAGTATTGTTCTCTTGGGTTATTGTCGGAATTAAATGAGATAATATGTGTTAGGTTACTGGCATAGTGACAATATATAATGAACACTCATTGCATATTAGCTATTCTTATTATCATAATCACACACTTCAAAGGTCTACCAATCCTTTCTAAAAGAAATACAGGTGGGGGGAGAAGATCATACTGAAAGTAACCCTTCAAACAGGTGAATGAGGAGGCAGAGGACACCAGCCAGTCCAGAGCAGAGATTAAAGTTCAACATGAGACTGTCAGCATCCTGTAAACTCACATCTTGCCAAAGCACATGGACCTAATATAAAAGCCTGTAGAATTATCAGGAGAGGGTTACAGAGGAGCACAGAAATATTCACAACCCAAAAGGGTTCTCATGGTCGTAGTCAAAGCAAACGGTACCTCCCCTTTCTTCTTGCACTGCTCCTGCTCTTCCACTGTGGTGAGATAATTCACAGCTGCGTACTCAATGACCGACAGAAACACGAAGAGGGAGCTGACCCACAAGTATACGTCCACGGCCTTGACGTAGGACACCTGGGGCATGGAGGCACTCACGCCGGTGATGACTGTGGACATGGTCAGCACCGTGGTGATTCCTGACATAGAAGAATAGTGACAAGGTCAGTGACATGGCCATTCAGGTGCCAAGCTCATTAAGAGTCACACGAGCTGCTGCTACCACAGAACAGCACTAGTCTGGTGATCCAGGGGGTGGCAGGGGAGTCACTGCATGTTAACCCTGCACACCAAGATGATCTCTGGCTTTATTTTTCCCTCTTTTTCTCTTGCCCTTGACTGCTATGGCTGATAATGTGTCCTTTTTTTCCATCTAGAGATACAGAGCCTGACATGTCTGCATCCTACCCTCAGATGGGCCTCTTTTAATAATCCCCAAAATGTAAAAATGTATTCAACTTTTAAAAATTATTCTAAGAAAGAAATCTCAAAATCTGTTTCACTAACATTTCCCATTAGTTCACAACCTTTATTGTTAAGATAATTGTTTCTGTGCGACCTTTATACACTTTTATGTTGCAGGGGAATCTCATTTCTTCTTGAGTGATGTTTACTGGTATTGAAGGTTGCAATTCCCTGTATTTTTCTTTCAAAGAGAACACTCAGAGGCTGTAATTAATCTCTTTACCCCTTGTTAATTGAAACTACAGTTCAACTGAAATTCAGAGACTACAAGTGCTACTAGAAGCTGGGTCTTTAGTAAACATTTACTGAGCAACTCCTGAATGCCAGTCAACATTTCCTTTCATTACCCCTCCCACTTCCTTCTCTCCCAGGCCCTTCTCTTCCCTTCCTCTCTTCTCAGAATTGACCTCTTTTCTTTTTCTTCTCCTTTTTTCCCTTTATACTCTTGCCTGAGCATCAGAGGCAAAGAGATCTTGTTCTAGGAGCTAGCGGAGAAAGAAATGACATTGAAGTTCCTTTAATAAATTGCTGGCTCAAACATTAGCAGCAAGAATCAACAAATTGGGTAATAAAGACTAAAAAATTTCCCTATGGCAAAAGATTAATCAGTAGAGTGAAGAGGTAGTTTGTAGAATGAGGGGAAAAAAAGCTTTTGACCTACTTCTCAGACAGAGATCTAATATCCAGAATATACAAAGAATTTTAAAAAGAATTAAACAACCTAAAATGTAAGCTCCAGTCCAGAAGTGGGCAAAAGAAATGAACAGATACTTCACAGAGAAAGAAAGACAAATGGTCAACAAATACACGAAAAATGTTCAACATTTCTGACCACTTGAGAAATGCAAATTAAAACAGTGCTAAGATTCCATCTCACCCTAGAAAGAACAGCAATCATTAGGAAATCCAACAATAATAAGTGCTGGCATGGCTGTGGTGAAAAGGAACCCTCCTGCAATGTTGGTGGGGATGTAGCCTAATGCAGCCATTATGGAAATCAGTATAGAGATTTCCCCAAAACTGAGATTCGAAATTCCATAGGATCCTGCTGTTCTCTTGCTAGGTACCTTCCCCAGAGAGCTTAAATTGTATGTCTTAGTTATTTTTCTCATTACTGAAACAAAATACCTGACATTCAAAATTAAGGAAGGAAAGATTTTTTTTAACTCAGTTTGTTTATGATCGAATATGTATATTTAGTTCATAGGTTTCAGCTTCAATCAGCTTGTTCCAAGGAAGAGCGGCTTGGCAGCAGGGCAACCAAAGCACGAACAAAAGAGGGAGAGAGTGCCTTTTCCTCCCTTGTATTTTATGCAGGCTACCCATCCTAGGGTGAGTGTAGCACTTGCACAATCCCCTCCATCCCACCAGTAGAATTCAATGAACCAATCAGAATCTCTATATTCAGTCACATTCGAAAAGCCCATCCCCCATGATCTCCTGAGGCTTTGGGAAAGATACTTAGACATAAACTGTAACATCATACTATGGCGATACATATATATCAATGTTTATAGCAGTACAACTCATAATGGCTAGAGTCTCGAAGCAGTTTTCAAATCTATCAACAGATGATTAGATAAGAAAATGTGGTGTGCATATGTAATGGAATGCTGCTTTGTTATAAAGAATGATGCATTTGAAATATTTGTAGGAAAATAAATATAACTGAAAAATATAATGTCGAGTGAAATAAACTAGGCATACAAGCTTAAATGCCATATGGTATTTCTCATTTGAGAGAGGCAAAGTGTAAACAAAGAAAATGATAAAAGATGGATAGAAAGGGACAAGGGGATGAATCTCTTGCAAAGGGGTGCGGGATGAGGAGGAGGGAAGGAGGAATAAGAAAATAAAGATATGCTATGTACGGGAGCCTGTTAACCCCAGTCAGTATAAACACCATATACCATAACATGACCTAAAACAACTAATATCGACAAGTGTGAAAACGGGGAAAAGGGAGCCCACGGAGGAGAGAGGAGTGGACGGGAAGGTACAAAATAAACAAGCTGCGATATGTACATGTAACCACTCCCCAAGATGATTGTAAGCTGCATGAGCTGCAAACATCTACTAATAAAATAAATAAATTTTGTCTGTGGGAAGGACCACTCTATGTCTAAACTCGTTCCTCAAAGGGATATTGTAAGAATTCTGCCTGGAGTGAAAGTATGGTCTAGTAAATATTTGAAATGTACACTAGCTGGCATGATTTTATTGCTTAACTTCCCACTAGGGAGGTTCAGATGGAATCCTTAATGATTTTTGTAAGTTGAGAGGAGTCCCAAATAGTGGGAAGAGCACCATGATTTACTCTTAAGAGTACAGACCAGCATGTGAGCAGCTTTCACCAGCATCTTTCTATTCTCTCTCTAGTTATTCTGTGAGGTTCTTATATAAGGGGCCTATATCACATACAATGGCAAGTTTATAGCATCATCCAATTTCAGATGAAGTTTATAGAATCAAGACCAATACAGCTTGGTAACTTGACAGCCACCATGGGAGAACCTAGAATCTCACCTTAACTTTGATACGTACTTCCTGATTAAGAAACCTAAATACAATTCTGGTTTGTAACATTAAACACAGGACACTGTCTCACTGAGTTTAGGTTTCTTACTGACAACGTTTAAATTATCAGTTTGCATATATGTGTATGCTGCTTGCATCATTTGACTCCAGAACATATTTGCTACATAAACATCAACATACAAAGTTTTCATTAACATTTGAGATATAGCTGAAATCAAAATTACTACATAAAACCCGCTGTCAGCAAATATTCACTCATACCTGTAGATAAATATTAATTGGCTCATTCTGTTCTAGAGAAATATGAACAGAGCATGGCTAAATAATTAGCCTACATTTTGTCAGGAGCAGGATTCCAGTCTCTCCCTTGATAAACCTGTGCTTTACCTGGAAATCTATTGCCTCTCACTGTGGACCTGAAAAGTGAACATCCTTCTGTTTTTAACATTATAAATTAATCATTATATATGAACTTTGAGACTAAATGTTATGAAATCCATGTGGAATTATATTGAGGCACAAAGAAGTTACTCTGTGCTTTTCAACAGGGTAAAAGGTTTAATCCCCTCACAAGTTCACTGGCATATACTAAAGAAATCCTGGACTAACATTCCTATTTGGCTTATTCCATTAGCTCAAAAAATTAAAATGTTTTTTTCTAGCTGATTTTCTGAATGTGGGAGATGAAACTTCATTTTTCGTAATATACACTTAGCAGAAAAAATAGTTTTAAGAGCTCCAGGGGCATAATTGGCTAGCACAAGGTACTAATATAGAAAAAAATAAAGGTTTTGGTGAGAACAAAGACTCAGAATGAGTACATGCCAGAGTGTCTCATGATACATTTGGAACTGATGACTACTTGGCTAAAAAGAAAAAGGAAATTGAATTATCTAATTTTTCCAGGGAGCAATAAACTCTCAACTATTTCTTTCAAAGGTGTTTACCCCAACTAATTTATTACAACTTTATTTTGAAAGCCAGTATTTTATATTTTTTTGTTTAAAATGAGAAAGACAAAAAAGAATAGGAGAGACTGTTGGGCAGGGGCAGTGAGTGATGAGAAAGCTGATATATAAATTCCCAAAGCAATAGAACTGGAAGTGATACTATTACAGCTACATTAAACACACTTATTATGTCCCGAGCCACCCCTAGGAAATGCATTAATCTTGACAAATAGGATTCCTTACGGATCCATTAAAGTTAACATCCCAATAAAAGAGTTTTGAGTTATATGGAGTGGCTATTTAGTCAGAGGAAGGTCATGTGTTGAGATTAGAAAATTATCTTCCCACCTACTGATATTACTGTGCACAGTTAGGGAAATGTTATAAGAAAATATTTAGTCTGGCCATTTGGCTCAGCTCCTCCAAATCCTTGCGGCTTCCCAACATTAACTTTTAAGTACATATATGGGGTGAGTTAAGGACAGCCTGGAGAAAATTATTCATCCCTGTGTTTTATTAGCTACTTTTGGACATGCATAGTGGGTAGGTTCACGGACCAGTTTGACAGCTGTCAGGCAGACAAGCATCATTTCTAGAAATACTGAGGTTGATCCCCCACCCGCTGGAATGCGCTTAAGCAGTTCTTTGACAGGGAGGGAATATCTCCATTTACCTTCAAGTAAGTGAAAATATTTTTGCTATAAGTGTAAGCGGGAGGAAATAGGAAATAATGGAAGGGAAAGCAAGATACGGACTATTCTAACAGTATGCTATGGCCACAAACCATTGTCCTTCAAAGGTGGCACCAGCGCTTAGTGACTGTCATTAGAAGTTCTAGTAATCTCTGAGATGGTTAATTGAATTGTGCTTGTTCAGTTTCCTAAATATTTACTTTCCAAATATATGAGATATCATCTGTTAGAAGATATTTTTCTCTGTGACTGCAGGCCTAAGAGTTTGATGGACTTCCTCTGCATGTGTTTCACAGCAAAGGACTTAATGCATTGTACAGAAAATGGGGTAATTCATGCATAAGGACAAAGTAAAAAATATGGAAGCAGGAAAGGAGAGAAGTAGAAATAATAAAGGAAAGTATAATACAACTCTTCCTTTGGTGAGTGTAAATATAGCCTTTATAATAGCCTCACATTCTTTCCTTGCAAAATTAAGCAGAGATACAAGGTTTC